TCCCTACATACCTTGGATAGTGAGGAGGCCTATATAATCTAGTCTGTGAGGACTTTCTGTTAAATGCTAAGCCAATATGAAGTAGTCAGAGAAGACAATATGAGCTTTGTTCCCCTTAAGAGAATAATACATGTCAAAGCTTTAACTCAGCAGTTTCTTTAATTATTTATATCCTATCTGTGTTCCAAAAAGGCCTTATGGCAGGTAGCTCACTTTCCTTGATAGTACTCGCGCTGTAGTGGACAGAGCACCTAGAATGGGCTGCAGTCCTCCCCAGTTGTGTGACCTTGGACAAGTCATCTACCTACCTTTCCACCACCACCACCACCACCCTAGCTAGTTTTCCTTATTGCAGCATGAAAAATTTGGACCAGATGTTCCCTAATCATCTGTGCACAGTCTGCACTCAGCCAACACATGTACTGCAGGCTGTAGCCTCAGTACAAGGAGGGTGCTAGGCAGAGAACTAAGGATGCTGATTGGGAGGCTATGCGCCAGATGGGGCCTAGTGGCCCTCAGCTGGCTTTCCTGGTTTGGGCACTCTGGCTGCAGAGTGAAATGATTTAGAAGGCAGGCTCTGGAGTCTGGCAGACCTGTATTCAAATCTGGCCATCATTTACTAGCAGCATGGTCTTTGACAAGCTACATAACCTCTCTTTGTCTCAGTTTCCTTGCTTTAAAATGAATATCACATTACTTATCTCACAGGATTGTTGGAAGGATTAAGTAAACTCTGTGAAGTACAACATGGCATGTAATAAGTTCTTGGTACTTGTGATCTGCTACAGAATGGTGACTGGGCCTGGGACAGAAGGGAAACAGGGTTAACTCCTCCCTATATGGAGATTGTTTGCTATATGGTCTTACTAAACCTATAGCAACTATATTTTCTAACTTCAATCTAAAAATGTGGCCTGATAGTGGGAAAGAATATTGGACATCAGAATTCCTCCTTAAAGCCCAGACCATCTGGCCACCTCTCTCTAGCCCTCTGGTACAGAGAGTCTCTGGGCTCTGTTCTCAAGGAGCTTCTGCCACCTGCTTTTGGTGGCAACTCGGCATCTCTACGGTTAAGATCTGTTCTTCACTGGGAACACAATGTTCATTCTCTGGCTGTTGGGTAGATGCCCCCTATGTACATGGGCAGGATGGTGTTGCTGAGAGGGGGAAGGGCCTCTTGTGGACCAGAGTTGATATTAGAGGCTAATAAGCAGTGGGGGTGAGCGAGGAACGGGCATAAGTGGGGGTGAGCGAGGAAGGGGCTTTCTGTAGCCTCTGATAGACAGGAGTGTATGGGAATCACATGACAAGTATGGGTGTCCTAGGGTGCCAGGCCAGTCAAGTGGCCAGCTCCCACCTTCTGGCAGAGGTATGGTGTGAATGTCACCCAGGAGAAACTTATTTGCTCATTCAATCACTATTGAGCATTGTGTGCCATGTACTGGAGCTGCAGGAAGACATCCGAAGTGGTCCTGCCCACAGGGGCTCCCAGCCCACTGCTGAGCACAGGAGGCTGTTGAGCACAGGGTGGGTGTTGGCAGGGAATCTTCTTTGGGACAGGCAGTATCTAATCACTCCTACACTTTCCTTCCCTGCTCAGACACCTGGATAGAGTCATGCTTCTGCCTCTACCTCTATTTTAGCCTCGCTTTGCCAGAGAGCCCCTCAACATCTGGGCCTCACGGTGATCTCTTCCTCTGCCTTGCTGTTCCCCCTGAGACTCTGCCCATGGGAAGTACCACCCTGAGCTCGCTCTGCACAGACCGACACTGACTTAATTTTCCCTCCCTCTTCCATTTTCTTCCTTGCTTTCATTTCTGCTCCTCCTCCTTTACTCTCTTCTTTTTCCTTTTCTTCTAATTACCCTCCAAACCACCCCTATCCAGACCCCAAATGCCCTCCACAGCTGGACACCAGGCTTCAGAAAAGCAGAGCCAGCTGGTTTTATCCCCACCGCTGGTTCTCCCCACAACTAGTAATTCCCGGCTTGGTGTGGGAGGCTTCATCCCTTTTTCCTCTCCCACCTTCCACCTTTCCCAAGCCTCTGGGCTTCCTCCTTCCCTGAGCTCCTCCTCCTCAGATCTGCTGACCCAGGCTGTCTCCCAGCCTCTTGTCCTCACTCCCACCTTGTTGTCATACTGCTCTTCCTTGCCCAGCCAATGGAAGGACACCACTTCTCTGGAGAGAGCCCACGAGAGTCTGTGGGACCTGTGGTGGATTTAGAGGGCTGCCTCCTTGTCTCCCACCAGTGTGCCAATGCCCTCCCCCTTTCCCTACAGCCCCCTTGCTGCTCCCCATAACTTGCTTTGTGCTCCTTCACTCCACCTTACGACTGCTGCCTGCCTTCTCCTTCGGGGGGAGTTTCCTCCCACCTCTGGGGGTGGTTCTCTGGGTGTTTTCATCATACCACTTAATTTCCCTTCTCCTCCAGCACCTTCTCCCCCCACTACCTTCATTCTCCTCTTCCCTTCTCCCCACCTCCACTGCCACCTCTTCCAGTAGGCTCCCTTTGCCTTCCCCCCCACCCTCCCCCATCCCTCTGTGGCTGCCTCTGTAACCTGTCTTACCACCAGGGCCTGAGTATACAAAGAAATAAATAAATAAAAAGGTCAGTGAGTGGAGGGAGCAGCAATAACCCCTAAAACAGTACTATCAGTGGAACATGATTGATCAATTGAATTCCATAGCGGCTGAAAAATGTGGGATTAAGTAGTGTATTATACGCACAATGAGTTGAGGCATGATGTTCATTTCAAGTTCATTTCGCCGGCCTCTGCCACCAGATCAGGCAATCAATAGGGGCAGCAGATATCATATATCACCTCTCTGCGGGCTGGGGAGAGAGCACCATAATCTCTCGCAAATTTAGAGTGACAGATTTGTCAAGATCTGAAGGGCCCCTGAATAAATGAAGGCAAAGAGACTCCTCCAGCCAGTGACCTGAGGACAAAGCTTCAGTTCTGCTCCTGCACACACACACACATACACACACACATAGAGGCATGGGGTGAGCCAAGCCACATACGGGCATATACACAAATCTACACAGAGGCATGATGTGAGTCCTGCCACACATGTACATGTGTGAACACACTCTCACAGATGCACACTGTATGCTCCAGGACAGATTTGGTGACACTGCAATAATTGTACACAAAGACACTTGATGCCTCCTTTGCTCCTGGCAGGAGGGCTTCCCCAAAAGGTAGGAGGGCTCCAGGAAGAGAGAATTAGACGCAACGGAACATGCAAATAACTACAGGGAGTGAAATTAGGATAGTGGCACATACTGGAAAAAGAGGCAGGCACAGGAGAAAAGGTGGACGTGGGCTCACAACTCCCCATGCAATATCTCTCTCACTCTCTCTCTCACACACACCCAGGCACACACATACACATACATGCTCTTGCAGAGAGGCTGTTACTCTGTCCTTTAAACACGCAGAGACCCTTATTTATCTGGATGTTTATATATGTTCAAATGCATATACATAAAAAGCTCACACAAAAAGGAAATATAAATTTATCTTATCTCAACTCACCTGCAGGGATGCTTACAACCTCTAAGACCAAAAACTCTTTCAGAGCCTTACACAGAAAAAGTCACAACCACCAAGTTTTGTGTCATAGGAATAGAGGTATAGCATCAAGGCTGCCTCTGTCTGCCTGCCTCAGACTTAGTCTTCATCTTGGCCTTTCTCTCTCTCTCACGCACACACATACACCATGAGCACACACTTTCTTTGCTTTCCCTCCGCCTGTGAAATAGTGCGTGGAAGCAATATGGGAGGTCCTGTTAGGAAGGCAGACCCTATTCTCCATCTGGGAGGCCAGAAAGGGAGGGTGGCTGCAGGTTGAGTTAATCAATATGTAATATTTTCTATGGTCTCCTGACTGATACTGTACAGCGTTACTGTATATAATGCAATATTGATTATATCATATCGTATAATCACCTATAAACTGATATATATAACAGTCCCAGAGGAATACCCTGGGGCCTCCAGAATGGGCTGGCCCCAGGCCCAAGGCTCCCTAGCTGTTCTTGGACTGAGGGAGGCCAAAGAGTGGCCAAGCTGGTGCTGGGGTCCCACCTTCAGACCAGGGGAGTTGCAGGTTGAGCATTCAGGGAGAGGCGGCAGAGCAGGCGCGTTGCCCACTGGGCACTGTGAAAACTCTAAGGGACCAGATGCCAGAGGCAGGGATAGAGAGTGGTAGAGCATGACATGGACACAGGCCCAGCCTGCAGCCCCCGGGGAGCGGGCACTAGTGTAGCACCACTGTGGCCTTTCCTCTGTGGAGCAGTCTCAGCTCCCCATGGAGACTATAGGAGGAACAGCCTGAGACAGCATCCAGGGCAGACAGGCTGAGAGCGTGGCTGGGGCACACCAGCACCCACAAAGGCCTTCTGTAGCCTCTGCCCAAGTAGATGCCTTGCTGTTCAAGTGATTCCTCTTTCCTTCTGCTCAGACAGTCCTGATCCAACCCGAGCAGAATGCCTCAGCCTTGCTCTCAGAGCACCTCCACCCTCAGTGGTGAAGTTAATTACTTCACCCAGTCACCATGTTACACTCAGCCTCGGAGATTTGGTGATTTTCAACCCTTGCAATCAGTGGAACTGAAATTTATCTCAGAGCGAGTTCAATTCTCCACAGGCTCAGTAATGCCAGCCCTGAGACACCCAGCTCCTCCCCGGGGCTGACACTGGCTGTGGGCTGGACTTGTCCCAGGGAAATGACCCCAGGAATACCTCTGGTTCCACCTTTGCTTAGTTCTTCTCAACCTCCACACTGTGACCACCTCCCCTTCTCTTCCCAGGTCCTGCAGGGGATCTGGCTTCCTTAGTCAGATCTCCGAGGCAGGAGCTGAGGGTACAGGGTCCCAGCCAAGTGCAGAGCCCTAAGGGACAGAGCCAGGTGCCCACTGCATTTGGCTGCTGCACTGTTCCTGCACCTCTGCCAGGCTGCTGCTAATGCCCCAAGTGTCCATGTGTCCTCTAGATGTGTCTGAGGGCTCAGTCCCCAATGGAGACTCCCAGAGTGGTGTGGACAGTTTGCGGAAGCACTTGAGAGCTGACACCTTCACCCAGCAGCAGCTGGAGGCTTTGGATCGGGTGTTTGAGCGTCCTTCTTACCCTGACGTCTTCCAGGCATCAGAGCACATCAAATCAGAACAGGTGAGGAAGAAGCGTTCTACTTGCAGAAGTGGAAAGGAGGGGCAGCACCTGTGGCTCAGTAAGTGGGGCGCTGGCCCCATATACCGAGGGTGGTGGGTTCAAACCCAGCCCCGGCCAAACTGCAACAAAAAAATAGCCGGGCGTTGTAGCAGGTGCCTATAGTCCCAGCTACTCGGGAGACTGAGGCAAGAGAATTACCTAAGTCCAGGAGCTGGAGTTTGTGGTGAGCTGTGACGCCACAGCACTCTACCGAGGATGACAAAGTGAGACTCTGTCTCTAAAAAAAAAGAAGTGGAAAGGAACTGGGAAGAGCAAGGCCTCTTGACAACTTGTATGCTGAATGTGCACACCCAGCACTGCATGTGTCATGTGTTAACATATGTGTGCACCATGTGTACAGTGTGAACATGTTTACAAAGGGCATGCTGATCTAATTAAGAAAAATCATTATGGTATGTGTATGGTAATTAAAAATGAAGAGCTCTGAGTGCGAGAGTATGGCCTTGTATAAATCTTATCACCTGTCAGAGCCTCAGTTTCCCCATCCATATACTAAGGGCTCAGCTATGGTCATCAAGTCCCTTCCAGCTCTACTATTTGAATATCCAGGAATGTCCTCTGGCCATGTCCCTTGCCTAACCCCTTCAGGGTCCTACCAAAAGTCTATGCAGTCCTATGGAGCTCTTCCTGCCCAGAGTCATGGCTAGTCCTATGGACCCCATGGAACTAGTAGGTGTCCTGCCCCCAAGTCCCCAGCTTGGCACACCTCCGGCACATGCCTCCCTGCATCAGCACATCCCCCAGCACACTTGCTCACACATAACTCCCATCCTTCCCACATATGTGGCCCAGGCCAGGCACAAGCCACAACACAGCACAGCTTGTTGTGCTTGCACAGGCACACACGTGCACGCACGCAAACGCATGTGAGTACCAGTGCAACCCCGCAGGCGCCACCTGGCACAGTTCCCGCCAAGACTCCAATGGCTCCCAGCTACTTGCCGTTCTCCCCGCCTGTCCTTTTATCCCATAAGCTGTTTGTCTTCATAAAACAAAAATCAAAAGTCTTTTTAAGGTGCCCTGAGCCATAAACCAACAAAGGAGGAGCCGGCCAAGGCGGGCGGCTCGGTGCACCCTCCCTGAGTCCCCGGCTGTATTACAATGAATAACCTTTATTTACTTTCATTAGACTATTAAACACCAGCACAGTCATTTTTCCCCCTGAAACTCGGAGCAGGGCCCATAAAGCAAATCCGAAGCCTAATTGAGTTCATTTTAATTTCTCTCCGATCACAGCGAATTACTCTGGTGATAAATCAGGGGGCAGCTTCACCCCCAGTAGAAGGCCTAATTTGCAGCTAATTACAAAACTGATTTCTACAGGAAGATCAATACGAGAAGGAATTGGAAATGACGAGGCAATCCCGTCCAGCCAAGGAGGGGAGGGGGCCCTCTGGGGGGGCCAGGAAGCGGAAGGGGAAAAAAAACAGACCCGAAAGAGCAGAAAATCAGTTTTAATTTAACGTAATATTAATCAGAGCAACTTTTCCTGCTTTGTGCAGCTCCTGGTCTGCCCAGCTCTGGGGTCTGGCTTGGCGGTGGCTGCAATAAAAAGGCAATTACCCGAGTGTTTCGGGCAGGACACCCTTTCAGAGTCAATGACTGGCCCCCTCCCACCCTTCTGTTAGCCATGTGGACTCTCCCCCTCCCCAATTTCATACCCCAGTGCACAGGCAGAGAGCAAGGGGCCTATGGGGCTGTCTTTGTTTGTTTTTAAAAAAGGGGGCACCCGCACCCAATCAGCCAGCCCAGCAGTGCCAGGCTGGAGACCCCATTAGGCCCTTCCTGCAACTACTTCTTCCATTATGTCTTGGTTTGCCCCTCCTCCCCAAGCCTCCTCACCCCAGGGGGACCTTAATACCCCATGCCTATCAGCAAGGGATCCCTACTGCTACATCCACCTTGGGGGGTTCTTAGGCAGGAGATGCTACAGAGAAGGTAAATCATCACGGTGCATAGGCTGCACCTCCAGCTTCTCCATGTCTGGTCAATCTAGACCTGCACAAAACTCTCCATTATACACCAAGCCCGCCCCGCCTGCTCTCCCTCCCTCTGCCCCACCATCTCCTTCTACCCATCTGGGAGGGCTCCCCTGTTCCTCCTCCCCATCTGCACACTGAGCCCTTTCTGCATGTCAATAGAGAGCTGTCACTTTTCTCTCTCCTCCCAGGGGAATGAGTACTCCCTCCCAGCCCTGACCCCTGGGCTTGATGAAGTCAAGTCGAGTCTATCTGCATCCACCAACCCTGAGCTGGGCAACAACGTGTCAGGCACGCAGACATACCCCGTTGTGACCGGTAAGGGCGCTTCCAGGCGGGTGAGGATTCTGCTTTCAGTGGAGGGGGGTTGCCTTGGCCCATGCCATCTGGGCCCCAGTGTGCAAAGTGGGCCCCCCGCCATGATATCTGCAGAGAGAGCAAGCCTCCAAAACCTGGGTGCTTCCTGAACAGATGCATGCAGATAAGGGGAGAAAAACTGTGGTCAAGGTGTCTGTGGGCTTCAGCCTGGAAAGGCCGATACAAGGAGGGGCTATTATGGTTCTTTCTGCCTAGGCTTTGCCTTTTTTTCTTGCTTCCACCAAGGTGCCCAGAATCCTGAGCCTCTTATTAAGTAGGACATGTATAAAAAAAATGCAGAAGGCATATAGGCCAAGCTGGAAAGAGTGGAGCATGGGTCCCTAGTATCCAGCCTCCTCATGCCTCTGTCCCCAAGGTTCCTGGGGAACCTGCTCCCCTCTCCCTCCAGATGGCATAGGAGGCCGTGGCTTTGGGCTTGAGGGCATGGTGCTCACCTTGGTGAGATTACAAATAAATTCAATTATTCCAGTCTTTCTCTTGCTTCCCAGAGAAGTTACTAAGACAAAGTCTTGATTTCAAAGCCAGATCGGGTCAGGTCTGACCCACAGCCAAATGCAGGGGGAGGAGACACCATGACCAAGAGCCCCCATGGAGTGGCAGCTGCAGAGGTAGCTAGTGAAGAAGGCCAGGTGGGGTCCAGGGAAGGCCAGAGGATGAAGCTCCAGGCTGCAGAAGGCACCTGGCACTGCAGAAGGGTTTCCAGGCCAGGAGAGTGCCCAAGTGGGAGAGACACACATTGAGGTGTTATTAAAATTCACCTAATTATTCTAGAGACACTAAAGCCAATGTGCCGTTTGTTCCTTGGGAGACAGGATGATCGAGAAGGGTCTCACTGGGAATTAGGAGACACTGAGGCGTTACCTGCCGAGCCAGGCAAGCAGAGGCAGCCTGGGGACCTGGCAGCAGGGCTGCAGGCAGCCAGCGTCACTGCCAGTGGCAAAGACAGGGAGCAGGCACAGTCCCTACTTTGGGGCAGGACCCTGGTTCTGATGGGAGCTGATCTAAATGTGGTTGTGCTTGAGCCTGAGCTTGGCTAGAAGTGGCCACCCAGACTCCTCTGAGGAGCTAGGGAGAGCACTGCTGTCAGCTCTCCCAACTTCTTCTTTAGGGGGTGTCCTGGTGCAACTATTCTATACTAGATGGAGGGGAGGTCTGTGGCTAGGAAGTCAGAGGTTGAGTTCTGGAAGTGTTGGAGAGTTGGACTGGGCTGGACTCTTAGCTGGGTTAGCTAAGTGAGGACATAGCCTATCACCAAATGGCCCTCAGCATGAGCCACCTTAGCCCAACTTGGAAGCTCTCTGATCTGCTGGGTGTTCTGACCAAGGCAAAGAGATAGCCCAAGCTAGGCTGTCTTTCTCCTGATCTGCTGACAGGTACAGTGGTCACTTCCCAAAACTGGCCACCCCAGACAACTGGCAGAAGAACCCAAGAGACTTCCCTAACCCCAGCTGTGTTTTCCTGTGCTCAAGACCATAGTCCAGGAAGGCAGGGACTTTCTAGGGTTGGGGATATGGATCTTCAGGGCAGGGTTCCTGCTGTAGGAGCCACAGGGGCTGGTGCAGAAAAGTATCTCCACCTTGAGCAGCCCTCATCATCTCCCCCCACCCCCCCCCAATGGCCCTGGAACGGTCCCAGCTCAGCCTGGGAACATCTCCGGCTGATCCATCTGGATCCAAGTGTGAGAAAAGTTCATTTCAGACCCAGCTTGACATTCCCAGGTGGCAAGTTAGCACTAACATCTCAATCTGTATGCGACATTTCAATCAAGCGAGGAGTAACAAAAGCAGAACCATTAACATTCGGAGCTGTTCACCAGTGGTAATGACGGGGAAACTCACTCAGAAACTGGAAATTACCAAAAACAGAGAAGTGTGTGGAGGGGTGGGGGAGGGGAGATGGGAGTGGGGATAGAGAATGATTTTTCCACACTTAGGCCAAGATCCAATGTTTGGATTAATAGTGCTATTACTCTAGAAAGGGCTGCAGATTATCCTCATTCTTAAAATGTTTTTGCTGGCAATTAAACTGCTGCAGTTATTGATCTTTGTTGATTTTATGTCCTCCTAATTTGCATAATCTATTAAAGATGAATGATTCATGATGTGTTAATTATGGGGACAAACAGAATTTGCTGGAGGTACTGTCAAGGTGAGCAATGGGGCATTGCCCAGAGACGCCATGGGCCATCTCAGGAGTGGGTCCAGTGTGTTAGCCTTCAGGCCAGGACTTTGTGGATAGCAGTGAGCAGTGATGCAAGGAGAACAGGCACAGAGGAGGGGAACCTGGGTGAGTGAGTTCTTCTTGAAAGATGTTGGAATCTGTGAGAACCTGGCTTCAAGTAGGGCTGGAGTATGGGAGAGACTTGGTATATTTGTAGAAATTCTCCACAAAGAGTCTTAAAAAGCTTATTTTGTTGGAGAACATTAAGGGCTTTGGTGAAAGAAGGAAAAGGGAGGCTCTTGCAAGTAGGCAAGTGATTCTGGGCAGCTGTGTTCTAAAAAGATGAGGAAGCAGTGAGGCCATCCTGTATCCACAGCCTGGTTTGGGAGTGCCAAGGCCCTTTGTATTCCCCTCATCTCAGCCCACACTCATCTTCCCCAGGACAGGCAGCTGAGGCTGCAAACATTAGGGGATAAGTGCTAAGGAAATGGGCCCAGGAATGCCCTAGCCCAACCTGAAAAGCCAGACCTTATTGATATTCCCACCACCTCCTGGCCCAGGAGGCTGATTTCAAACTTCACCAGCCACTTGATGCAGCTGTTCCACAAGGTCAGGACTGAGAGGAAAAAGGAGCCTGGACTATTGTGTGAAGGAGAGACTGGGGCCCAGTGGGCCAGGACACAGCTAATCACATTGCAAGGAAGGGTGGCTGCCAGGGGCTAGGGCTCAGCCTCACAGCCTTCCCTCCCCACCTTCCATCATGGAAGCAAGGAGAGACTGATTTTTCTGGGTGGTGTTTGTAAGTTCTGCCGAGATTTTAATTTCACTGCATCACAACTCAGCAAGCTGCCAAGTCAAGCTGGTTATTTAAATTTATCACCCACTTTCCCTTCCACCGCCCGGCTGCTCTAGCTCAGCGGCATCTCTTTTCTCCAGCCCACGGCTCTAGGCTGCTGGTCTGGAACGGAGCCGAGTCTCTTCTAAGCGATAAAGAAAAAGGGACCAGCTACATGAGGGAATGGGGTCAGAGGTACCCTGGCCTCAGGCATCCTTGGGCTGGTTGGCTGTGGCTGGTACCTTCCCTCACCTTCTTACCCCTCCAAAGGACCCACAGGGGGCTACCATCAACCTCTCAGTTATCCTAGAACCTTCCAGGTCAAGGCCCCTACAATGAGGACTCTGGCCCCAACTGCATGCTGGAGCTTCAGTCCTTGAAGTCTTTTGTCACTGGTAGAAAAGGTAATTTCTCTTCCCCACATTCCTCACCTTAACCCTCCCTCCTGTGCCTGGCTGGGGTGGGCTGCAGTGACAGTGGAGCCCACACAGATACTGGCAGTGCTGTTGATGTGGGAGGTAAAGATGAAACCTAGGTCAGCAGATGAACAAAGATGCTTCTGAGTAGTAGAGTCCCTTGACCCAGTGAACGTCCACCCTAAAGGAGAGAGCAAACTCCCCGCCCTGGAGCCCAAAAGGAAACAATGGTGCTGGAGGAAGTCAGCGATTGTGCAGCTCCCCAGAACTGCTGCACCCAGCAGGCTTCATGGGCCTCTAGTGGGCCAGTTCTCATGATCTCAGTTTAGTCACAGAGAGGTAATGGAGGAGTGAGATTATGTCCGGGAACTAGGCAAGATAAACTTACCAAAATGTAATTAGATAAAATATAACCATAAAAAGAATTAATACACAGCCAAACCTCACTCTGCATTGCCAGAAATGGAGGGAAACGCAGAGCCAGAGTGGTGTACGAGAGACTTCTGGTATCACACTGAAAGTAGAGCCTCAGAGGAGACGGTGGGGTTGTAACACACCAGTCAGGAGACATGACTTTGGGTCCAGGAGAATCAGGAAGCTAGATCTGAGGATTACCCTACATAAAGGTAGGAAGAGAGTAAGGACAATACTGTACATGAAAGGGAAACACATGGACTCATTCTAATGGTCCAGGAAAGCAAGTGTGGAGGCAGGGGTATAACCATGAGAAATGGAGACCCAAGCCTGACCCTGGATCATAGTCCAAATTTATATTATGAATATGTTCCCAGAACTTACATAAAAATTTATCCAGGATAGTAACCAACTCAGCAACCCCAGCAGGAATAGTGGTAAACCCTTCGAGAGACATACTACAATCCAGGCCACAAGGGAATCCCACAGGAAAAAAAATCCACCACTGAAGATGAGTTTAGTAGAAGGCTGTTGTGGCAGGCGCCTGTAGTCCCAGCTACTCAAAGGCTGAGGCAAGGGAATCGTTTGAGCCCAAGAGTTTGAGGTTGCTGTGAGCTATGACACCACAATACTCTACCCTGGGGTGACAAAGTGAGACTCTGTCTCAAAAAAAAAAAAAAGATAAGAGATGAGTTCACTATAAATAATTATACACCTCGTGTGAATACAAACTATCATGAGGGAGAATTAGGAGAAGTAATAAATAGGACAATTAACTATTAACCCCCCCCAATAACTGGACATAATAAAATAATCCAAAAGCGCTATACTAAACATGTTTAATATTCCAAAAAAGATCAAAGAGAACTATCAGTTGTGTCTTTATCACAGATTCTCCCCTTCCTCACCAGTGCTCAGCACACTGTCAGATAATGGAGATCAAAAAGGGAAGAAAATTAAGACTTTGCTGATGGCTTATTGCCTTGGGGTCTAGGAGGCATGAAAAGAGCTGAGCCTCAGGCAGCTCTCCCAGTAGGGTCTGTTCCCAATTTATCCACGCTCCCAGACTGCTGAGTCTCAGCAAAGACTCTTACCTTTGCTTTGAAAAAATGTCT